GCATCTGTGAAGCAGCAGTACCACGACAACATCCGCTGGATTCGGGAAGCCGGCAGGCACAGCTTGGTAAGGCGGCCTCCCCAGCACGGGTGACCTCCCAGGTCCAGACCACAGTTTTGAAGGCTGGAGTGAAAAGCACGTGAATGGAAACGCTGCTCTAGCTCTTTTTTGTGTACTGGGAGAAGGTGGACAACTTAAATGTTTCTCTACAGCAGGACTTTAGGGTGAGAGGAAGCCTTCCTGTCCTCATCTTGGAAATGCCCAGATATTCCAGCATCATTTGGTCTTGTTTCTGGAGAGAAACAAGCCAGTGACTCAAGCTTCACCTCATTTGTTGCTACCTTTCCTTTGGCACCATGTGAAATGTCCTCCTTGGCATTTATTTGATCCTACCTCCTCAGTCCTGCAGTTCCCAGTGCTCCTTTCAAAATATGTGAGAAGGCCAAAGGGCTGCATCATCCTATTGCACAGTGGGAAACAGGGCACAGGGCAACATCCTTTTGTTTTGCTTTTAGGGCAGAATCACTCTGTGAAACTAACTGGTAACATTGTCAGGTTTATGCATGCTCTCCTCATCTGGAAACCAGACTAACTTGTGGAGGAAGAGCTGGAGAGGAGCAGACTTGTGTGGGACAGATGTTCTTTGCCATTCTTTGTCATTGTATTTCTTTTCCAGCCCACCGTTGCTGGTCCCAAACCTCTGCTTTTCAGCTGCTGATAAGGTGTTTGTTGATAGGGGGATTAGAGCCAAGCAATCAGGTTGATTTAGAGTGGGGTTTATTGGACAATAGCAGCTGAATACAGAAATACATCTCACTGATTGTGTGAGTAGAGATAAAACGTGGTTCAAAGAGGGGCTTAATTTATTTTATTTTTTTCTGGAAGCTGGGTGTTGATGAATGAATAATCTGTTTTCTCCTGCAGAGTTAGGCAATCATATGTCTCCATTTATCTAGGACCTGAAGATAAGCCAGTTGCACAGGGAACCTTATCTCTCTGGCATTTTTATCTTCCAGGTTGTTGGTTCTCAAGCTAGAATCTTGTATTCTGATCAGAGAGGTCGTGTGTCTATAGCCATGGCTATTAATCGAGCAATATCTGAAGGAAAGATTAAGGTTTGTTTTTTTTTCTATTTGATATCACGTGGCAATTTTGTTTAATATCCAAGACTGGGTTGGCAGGTGGGAAGGGGAATGAGAGGGATCAGAGAGCAGAAATTCCTGTCATTTATGTGGGACTAGTATTCGGCTAGCATCTATTATAGCTTAACCTTTCTCTGTCTAAGGTCCCCAGTATTGTCCTGTGTAACAGAAGGGAGACAAGTGTAGAAACTCTGAAATATGCTGTCTTTCATTTCATGTTGGAAATCTGCTTTATTTTGCATTTGGGTATCTACAAGCACAGTTTATCATACTGTCTGCAAGAGGAGGTTTGCTGAAGACACAGGACAGGGGCTCTAACTCCTTAATAGTGCCTCAGACGGGCCAAATAACAAGAAAGGCCGTGCCACCACCTGCCATTTCTTCCTCTCCATCCTTTGCTTTGTCATATTATGGCTACAGCCAGCTCTGCATTGTGTGAATGAAGAAAATCATTAGATTTGATGTTGTTACTCTGATGCATAGTGTTAAATTACTTAGTTAAAAATCCCACTGAGCATATGTGGCAGTGACAAAAATACATTTTATGGAAAGGACATGTGGATTTTCTAAGCTTTTTTTTTTTTTAAAACTCATGTGGCTGTACAGTGTGACATTTGGTCTGGCAGAGCAAAATTCTGAAGATATCACACAATTATACCCATTATTTATTGCCGTAGAAGATCTGCTGCTGCTGTGGGGCTCAGTTTCCAGGTGTATGATAAGGATAGTTTAAAAGCCTTTGGCATAATTTTGTTGTGGCACCATCCCAAGAGAGTAAACTCTGTTGCAAGACAGGAGTTATTACAACGCAGTTCCAAGTATAGACAGAATGAATATCTGTGCAGACACATCTGTGAGATTTTGTAACACAGGGAAAGCAAAACGAATTGTCCAACCTTTAGTGAAAAATGATTTTTTGCAAGGGCTGAATCACCACCTGAATTTGCAACACTCAAACTGATCTGTAACCTCACGTTACAATTTGATTCAAACTGCTCTTTCTTTCATTCTCCAGGTAGTAAAGCTTATGAAAGAGTTTAATCTTTGCTCACAAGTAGGATGCATAATGAGCATCCATACTGGCTTGTGGCTGTGCCTGCAGCAGCATCAGACATAGGCATGTTCGCTCATTTCTCTTGTATAGGCACAATAAAGTAATTTTCAAAATGACAAACTTGAGTAAAATTTAGAACAGATTACAGCTAAGCAAGGCTCTTTTTGTTACTCAGAAAATGTTTGCTAAGATATTTCAAATACTGTTGACCTTCTCAGAATTCAAAAATGAACGTCACTGCAAGCTGGTCTTAGAAGATAAACCTGACCAGCCAGAGCACTGCCTTGGAGTGATGACTGACAGGGTCAGACTCCCAGGCCCTTAGGATTTTGTTGGGACTTTTTCACTTCGAAATCTCCATTCCCTCTCTGGCAAGATGGGTGCTTACATCTCTTTTCAATGATTTGCTAATTCACTGCCAGCATCAAATGCCAGCTAATTCCAGATCCATCACGCCAAGAGAATGAATTGCTCTTGTATAAACCCTGTGCCTGGCAAAGGATAATGAAGATCTGTGAGCTGATTTAGATTTGTCCTGGCAGTTAAATTCCAAATCAAGAATAGACTTGTCTGAGCTGTGTGAGATTACTAATTCTTATTGACACCTTATGCTTAATCTTAAAATATTCCAAGAGAAAAGAAAAAAGGCATTTCCTACTGTTCAAAAACAGAGCTATTTTTGAATGAATTTTTTTCATGCTGAAGTGTCTTTGAAATTTCAGCAAAGCAGCCACATCATGTCCCCTCCTCTCCCTGCCTTGCTTTGAAGGTAACATTTTCCTTTAAAAAAAAAAAAAAACTCTTGCTCTCAGTTATGAAATGGTGCTGACTCTCACGCACATGGCAACATTTCTGGTGAAAAAAACAATAATAGGAAGGAGGAGATTCAGGGGATTTAGGGAACACCCCCAAGGGAACAACATTGTTTTCATTTGAAATCTGAAATGAGGTAAGACAGAAGTCTAACCAGCTGAGGTAAGACAGAAGTCTAACCAGCAACAGCATTTTATTGGCAGCATTGACAGTTCATGAAAGATTCCATTTTCTTGTCACTGCTGTTTCACAGGCTCCAGTAGTCCTCAGCCGAGATCACCATGATGTGAGTGGGACCGACAGTCCTTACAGAGAAACGTCAAACATTTATGATGGATCAGCCTTCTGTGCAGGTCAGCAGAACAGCTGAGACTTGTCTGTCCAGAGAGCAAGGAAATTGCTTTAAAGGAGAAATTTCTAGTGCAACATTTGTAGAAATGTTTTTGTTTAACTTTTAATCGCAATTAATCAGATTTCCTCTGAAATTGGCATAAAAGCTTTGTGGGATTTAAAAATGATACAGAAATCTGACCTAGTTAAATGGGAGGCTCAGAACAATGGTGTAATAAATTTGAAGCAATTCTGAAAATTTGGTGAGGATGCACCAGATTTATCTGAATGTAAATGGAGAGCAATCTGTCTTGGACAGTATCTTGTATTTAATTTTAATTTTCCACCCTGAGACTTCAAAGAGATGATCTGAGCAGAATTATAGCAGCACTTCCTTGGGATATGCAAGGTCAAAATCAGGTCTATAAAAGTACTTTATTTAAAGCACTCAGATTCCCAGCTCTGTTCGTTCACCATGCAAGGACTCAAGAAAACAGTTTGGAGTTTTTGGAAAGGACCTTTTCCGGTCATATGGGAACATACTTTGATAGTAAAAGCACAAGAATGGAAGTCAGGAGTTCTGGATTAGATTCCAAGCCTTGCTGCTTGCTCACAGTGTGACTGTGGGCAAACTGCGTAGGTTTAGTTCTGCATACCTGACCTGAGCTAACCAGAATCTGCTTTTGAGATTGTGAAATGGCACTTTAGAAAAATAAACTCAAGAAATATCAAACTGGACACATGAAAAATGAGTGAAGAGCTAAAAATTTAACTTGAATCTTCCTCAATCTTCTGTCCATAAAGTAAAAAAATATATATATATAATACAGCTTTAGTCCAGTGATCTTTCCACCTGTCATGAGCTGGCAGCCAGGAAGTGGCTTGAGATATGAGAATTCAAGCTGCTGTAGAAGGAGAAATTATGACTGAGGTCCCTGAGAATACTGAATGACTTCCATTAGGACTGGCAGTTCATAATAGGACTAAAATATGGTTCTGTTTTTAGGAGGAAAGTTTCCTGCTTTGCTTTCCTGATGAAATGAAGCTTATAGCTGTGTATCTTTCAGCTGCACTGATAGACTCCATTTTTTAGCTCCAGCTTTTGAGTAGGTTGGCTCATTCTGGTGGTCCAGATGGACAGACTTCAGTTTTTGGTTCCCTCAAGATGTATGGAAATAGTGAAGCTGTATAGTGAGCTGATCCAAATCAATGTCTCTGCTGAAAGACTTAACTACCTAAGTAACCCTAGACGATGCCTACAGAAGAGGGCAATAGAAACAAGGCTTGCTAAAACCTATTTCTTATCACACTACCTGTTCTTGCTTATATTTTCTGAATTACATGAACCGCTAGCTCTATTCCAAAGCCTCCTGACCACTGGTTTCAATGGTCTTGGAAAATGCCACCTTAGGTCTTCCTCTCTGGATTAAAATTAAAAAAAAAAAAAAAAAGCTTCTCTTCCCCTTGCGGGATGAAAAAGAGCATGAGGAGATAAATGCTTGCCATCAGAACACAACTTAATGGCTTTTTTTTTTTTTTTTTTTTTTAGAATATGAGCTTTTTATCTCTCTTGTTCCCCTTGCTTCTTAACAGCACTGTAATTATGATAATTGGGTTATTAAAGTGACATAATGCCACATAAAAGATGCCATAATGGGGCTTTTGACAGGGTTTAACATATATTAATGCTTGAGTAAATTCATTTTTCCATCAGACAGGTAACAATTGTGAGTCTGCAAATGGGGCTGGGGGGCTTATTTTTTACTGGTAAAACCACAGAAAATTATCTATAATTCCTGAAATAAAAATTTGGACACATTTTCCCTGGGTTTCACCCCATTATTCTCTGCTATGTGCATTTCTTTCCACCTCTGAGCATATGTCCTTTTGCACATACACAGAGGTGGCAAAGGTTGGTGCCTTTAATTGCATGACTTTTATGAAATTCTAGTGAACGCTTCAGTGGAAAGCATGCATTTGACATTAGTCTACCCCCCGACCCCCTTTATTTTTGTTTTTCTGAAATAAAACCAGTGTCTTGTGTGACTTCTGTAGTTACAGAAAATACTCTCATGCCCAGAGAATCAGGGCCATATCACTTCCACCATGGGGCTTGTTCCCAAAATGCAGGTCATGGGGTTTTTTTGTTTTGTTTTTACAGAGTTTTGAGTTAACTGTGGTTTGATCTGAAACAGCCATTTCAGTTCAGGCTTTCCTGAGAACTGCAAGCTGAAATGGCCCCCCACATTTTCAGCTTCTGCAGGAATGTGTCCAGGATCCCAATGCGTAGACTGTATTTCTTGCCACCCTCAGGAGGTATCTCCTAGCTGAGGAGTGGTGGTAGGTTCTTCATCTGCTTGAGCTTGGTCACAAACACAAAAGGCAGCAGTGTCCTCCCAAACCACAGAATGATACTGGCTTTTGCTTCTCCTATTGGAGGTGGGGAGAAATAATCTCTTGCCTGTTTCTCCTAACGTCATGTGTTCACTATATATCTGTGAGAGAAGCTGTGAGTAAACCCTGCTTCCAACAGTGACTTCACACCATCACCATGAAAGTGTCAGTGGAAGGAAAGAGCAGCCCAGCCAAACCCTAATGCAGTGTGCCAGGGCTACTGTAACATCCCTTCTCTTTTCCTAGACATGGCAGTACAGAATTTTGTAGGAGACGCCTTCAGAGGAGCTACCTGGGTCGCCTTGCACAACGGTGGTGGTGTTGGCTGGTAAGGAGAACCAACCCGCATCTCTAACGATGGGCTCTCCATGCGGTTATCGCTGCGAGAGATGGGGAGGGAACTGTGCAGGTGTGGGGTGTATTACTGGAGTAGCAGAGTGCTGTGATCATGGGAAGGATGAGCTTGGAGACAAGGGCTGAAAGGATGCATTTTAAGGTGAAATGTGGTGTTGTATGAGGCTTTTTTTAAATTAATGCCCATGCGTCAAGAAAAAGTGTTTTGGACATTAGCCATGGCATAATTTGGAGAACTTAATTCCCTAAGTAAGGATGGTCCGCTATGGTCTTTTTGAACTGATCCCATTTCCAAAGTTGTCTTCACACGGGCACCACCAGAGTGTTAGTGGATGGATTATGCTTAGGTTTTTCCTTAAGCGGCATTTAAATCTGTGACCTTAGGACCCCAATATAAATACCCCTGTGCTAAAGTGCAATGAGGGGTTATTGATACAAAACAGCTCCAGTGCCAGCAAACCCCCCACTCTTTCTTTCCACTTGGCCCTGGTCTTTTATCCTACTAGGCAGGAGCAAGTAGAGACTTGATTAAAGCTCCTCCTTCACCTAGGACATAGAACTGGGAGAAATGCCTAGATTGAGAAACAGAATGAGAGAAATATAATATATGTAGAAGAAAATTCATCTCCTTTATATGCTGCTAAAGGGAACCTGGATTGGCAGAGGTTTAGGGAAGATGAGCTCTGCTGTAGGGTCGATAGTCTGGATTGTTCATTCTAGCACAGGCCAGCAATGTATCTCCCATTTAAAGTCATGTCTTTGTTTTCTGGTGTAGCTGGTCAAAAGGGAGACACTCCCCTGTTAAATACTATAGTGATCCCTCTCCCAGCTGTTCCATCCAGCTTCTCCAGAATATGCTAAGAGGAGCAAGCCACATATAAAGAACTTATTGCAGATGTTATCCTGAGAAATATTTGAGGTTATTTGTTTATTATTTGTCCTGGAGCTGGAAGCTGGAGCTAGAAAAAATCCCTTCAAATCGGATGGAGAATTCCCCCCTGTACAGTCTACTAATTTTGATTTCAGTGAAGTAGCTAGTGAATAGAAGGCATGTGAGAGCAAAACGGGATGGTGGAGAAAAAGCTCCCTGAAAATCTGGCGCTGTTGATTTCAGTGATAACTATCAAGGCCAGGACTTCATTTTTAACTTCAGAATTACAGATGGAAAATACATGCTGGCATACCCACCTACTCTGGTTGTCTCAGTCTCTATAGATTGCAGTAGGTTAAATCTGTTTGAATAGATTTTGTTAATTTTAACCTTTTAAAAAATCTGGTCATGAAATACAAGCAAACACAATCCCATGCATTATCTTCTTTAAAGTACCAGGAGTATTTTCATCATTGTTTAATTACTATAATCGAAAATAATTGCTTATGCCAGAAGTTATTTGTTCAGTGTGTTGATGGTATTTGTTCAAAATTCAAATCATGCAAATCATCATATTCCTTGTCTCACCCTGGCGTTTTTCAAGACCAGACCCTCCTGCACATTTCTAGCCCTCTGGGCAGTCTGAAGAGAGACTGGCCAAGAGCCTGAGACCATTCCTACTCTGGAAAACTGGCAGTGGCCAGACTGCCATTTCAGTTAGACTCTTGTAGTTGGCTCCTTAGTGGAGCTGCATCACTGGAAAGAAGTTATCCTTGAGGGCAGAGCAGAGGTGCTGTCGCTTATATGATGGATGGGAATATTAGCGTGTGACTATTCACTGAAATCAAAGTATCTGTGGAAAAGCAAGGATCGATTTTCCTCTCTTATTGGTTCCTGTGGCTGCTTTGTGGCTTGTCGTTAGGGAACAGTGTCTGTTCACCTTGTTCTTGGGAGCAGTCTTGGCTCTCTGTGATTAAATTACTGTGCTTCAGCGAAGAATGTGGAGCGTTAAAATGAGGCCTGTCTCGGTACAAGCCCTAATAAGCCTCCATGCTGAGACTCAGACGTGGTAACAATGTCGTGTCATTAGGTGCAGTCTGGAGAGCCCCGAAAGCCTCTGCACCACACGTGGTCCTGCTCGGTTTAACTAATCATGGCACCACCCCGGCTAGTTAAAGCGCTTCCCCCTTTGCCTTTTCCCTCTAAGGAGAGAGAGGGGAATGATTTAAAGGTGGGAAAAGAAACAAACTCAACCCCCTACTACACTATTTTTTTTTCCTGGAAAAGCAGGATGCTCTCAGGTTTTTCTTTGCCTCCAGAGAGGTAAAAGTTCAGTTGACTTTGCCATAACAAAATCTCCTCGTGCCTAATAAAATAAGGCAGCTGATATGGAGGTGTGAAAGTGCAAATGGAAGCTGACCTGTATTTATAAACGGATATGAACGTGATTAGGAAGAAATCAAATTGCCATCGGGACATCTCTGTTCCAAGAGTTTGGAAATGGCAAGTGCTCTGTTCTCAGCTGCCCAACTTCCCAGCAGAGGTTGGGAACTGCTGACAGGTCTGGCCTGTCTTCCTAAAGACACTAGAGAAATACCTTGGACATGCTTTGATTTCTCAGAGCTATAGCCTTGTGGGGCAAACAGAAAAACGCAGGATTAATATTTATTTAGCTGGAATTTGCATCACATGTGCTATTTGAGAGACTTAAGGTTAACATGTTCTTGACTATAAATACAGCAAATGAATGTCATTCATTTCTTACAGTCTTTTACTTTGCAGGAGAAATGTATATCAGCAAAGAGCCCAAGTAACTTGTAGTAACAAAAAGGCAGAAGTAATTTAAGAATTGAACTACAGTGCTGACAGTGACATCTTGATTGTGAGAGAGGCCTTGTTTTCTTTGATCACCTTAAAAGGAGCCATCTGGAAATTATAGGAGGTCGCTTAGGTCAAAATGCCACACGTTTCTTTAATTACCTTAAAATATTACCCAATGCTAATGAAGGCAGAGAGCTCCCCTTTAAAAGTGAGAGGTTTTGCTAGAAAATCCATCCTAACAAACCTTGGTGTTTAATTTATGAATGATTTTGAGACAGTAGGGCAGATTCTGTTGAGGGCTTCTGATTTACACTGGAGTAACTCAATGGAAATGGATGGAGAGAAGTTAAATTTATGGAGTGCAAGTGAGATCAGATGCTCAGTGTTCATGCCTAAGCTAGGGATGCTCTTCGGGATGTTGTGTACAGAGGGGATCTTTGCTGCTGAATGAACGTCATCAGGTGGAATCGCTTTAGGAAGCACCAGGCCAGAGGTCTGATTTTCTTATTGTCCAATATTGTCAACAGTCTGACTTGAGGTGTGATTATACTGTGGTATTACGTGTTGATGTTGATGCTCCGGGTTTATGTGACTGGAAACAGAATCTGGAATTTCAGCACAAGCTCTCAGTTAATCTCAAGGGACAAAATGTTAATTTTCAGGCTGAAAAGTTTTGACGGTGCCAATCAAAAAGAAGCACCTCATTTTGAAATGTCAGCAATCCCAGTGTTCAAACATCTCCCTGCTAACTCGACTCCTCAGCTGACATCCCGCTAGGAGAAATGCCAGTTTCATGAAAACTCTGTATTTCAACAGAAAAGATATTTAGGTATTTCAGCCAGCTCTAATGGTGGTAATGCAGAGGGAGCTCAGAGTTTGGTAACTTGATGCGAGTCCTGGAGTTTTCAGTAACTTCCTTGGTCACCCGCTGATGAGCCCCTACCTACCACATTGCTGGTTGCTGTAACTAGTGAAGGGGAGTGAACATTATGTAAGTAACAATAAAACCCTGAAAATGTGAGTTGTAGTGTCAGATGTAGGAGCTCAAGTCTGCCAGGGTCCAGTGTAGCCTTCTAAGAAAAGAGAGCAAACACCACGTTTTTCGAGATGCCCCAGTTGCTGCTGAA